TTTAGGGTTTAGGGTTTGGTGCCCACATGCAACGCTGAAACCCCAAGCTTCTGCGTCTTACTGCTTGGGTTGGAGCTCGAAAGCTGGTAGCCCCTGAAGCCACTGTAGCACCTGAGCCCCAAGACCTGAACTAAAATCCCTTAGGGTTTAGGGTTTAGGGTTTGGGGTTTAGGATTTAGGGTTTAGGGTTCGGGGTTTAGGGTGTCAACGCCGAAGAAGCCCCATCCCCTACGTGTTCGCGTGCGTGCAAGGCTGCGCCAGCGACGGACTCCGAGACGCTTTGGGTGTGAAGCTGTCCCGCTTGGCATGTATTTATAATCTACTTGGAGGCTCATGGGTAGATGCAAGTAGGGTTCTAAGTAGGGAAACTACTCTTCTAACCTCACTTAGGGTACCTGTAACCCCCATTTATGACTCCACGGAATGTCGCCCGCGCCTTTTTAAAGCGGTGACCTCCAGCCAAGCCCTGAGCTGCCACGCTGCACCGACAACATCCCCGACTCAAAGCCTGACACTTCAAGTCTAGGGGTTTGAGAGTTTAGGGTTTAGGGGTTCGGGTTTAGAGTTTACACCCCCACAACAACCCTATGCCCACACACTTCAAGTATCCAAACTCCTGACCCCTCTAGCTCTTTTTCTGAAGTCTATCGGGCCTTTTAGGGCATGCACGGATCATTTTCCGTTGCCCATCGGCGGGTGGCGCGAGGAAGGGCAAGAATGGGACCTGAAGTGAGCATCTAGGGTACATCTTCTTGGGGGCCCTAAACCCCAAACCCTAGACCCTAAACCCTAAACCCCAAACCCTAAACCCTAAACCCGGTTTAGGGTTTCGTAAATAAGTAACCTGCAGTCAAGCATTCCAGCAAAACTTCACGCCTTTGTCCAAGACCCAACGGGGCTCCCCCGAAACCGGGAACCCCAGCCGAGATGGGGTTTAGGGTTTAGGGCGTAGGGTTTAGGGCTTAGGGCTTAGGGTTTAGTGTTTAGGGTTTAAGGTATAGGGAGACACCTTACTTGGAAGCTCTTTTGACTTTGTAAGTCTACTTCGTGTCCCCTAGAAGCCCTCTTATAATCCCCATGACCCACCTTACTAACCCACCTTACTAACCCTACTTACAAACCCTAAACCCTAAATCCTAAACCCCTTCCAAGTAAGTCAGCCCGGAAGTGGAAAAGTTACGACATTTTTTCGCTCCGTGAGCCAGCACCCGGTTTAGGGTTTAGGGTTTAGGGAAAGCCACAAGAGTTTCGCATCTCGCGAAGGTCAGACGTCCAACAGCAACAACAGTTTCGCAGGCTTGCATGTGGGGGTTGTACGAAAGTAGGGGACCCGCCAAGACAGACCCCCAAATGGCAGGATTCCTTGATGATATGGACCCCAATCTGGTACCCCTCATATCGTACATGTCTTGCATTTCGGAAGCCATGAAGTCCACGAGCGATGACAGTTTCGAGGACGGCGAGCGAGGCCTCGCCCGTTCCTAATATAATATAGGGGCCTTGAATATTCAGAATAGCATTTTGGGGGTCGAAATTTAGTACACTTATATAGGGGACCCTAAGGGAATACGATTAGTAATTATTCCGTCACCTATATTAGGCAAGAGCGTGATTCTTCGTCCAAAACGCAGGCAGGTTTACTTGTAGAAGGCTGTGGTGAAGATTGTTGTAGGACATTGCAGCTTCGAGAGTTGCCATAGGTTTCGGGCTTATCAGTTTTTTTGGTGTCCCCCTCGCCCAGCTGCCGCTGCGAATGGCTGCGCATGCCCGAGTGCTCTCAACGACACCAGAGTGATTGTTTGACTCTTGGAGTTTTTAGGGAAAATCCCTAAGCTCAAGTCTTATGCGTTTCCTCAGGAAATGTCATCTTATGGGAGCTCTCCTTCCCGAGGACCGGGAGCTACCCTAAACCAAACCGGCGAAACCCTGCCAGACGAAAGACGTTGAGATGCCCGACAACTCGAAATCCTCAAGCCCCCGAACTGCTAGGCCTTGAAGGGTTTAGGGTTTAGGGTTTAGGGTCCTTTGGACTTTGGTCAGCAGTGAAGCCGGGCTCGGCATCGTGACAAGTACAAATGCTGTCGTGGTTTCAGGAGCTTTCTGCGAGCATTGTTATATCATCATGTGTTTTTCATTGCTGCTGGAGGTTGTCGTTCTTGCAAGTGAAACGGTGGCTGTGCATCCTGGGTTCCTCTTAGACTCTCGTGTCGAAGCGTGGCTAACTGTGAAATTTATCGAGAATGGGCTCTCAACATTTGCCAGACCCGTGGCTGTTCTGCGGATGCCCTAACCCTACACCCTAAACCCGAAACCATAAACCCTAAACCCTAAACCCTAAACCCTAAACCCTAAACCGTCTCGGTTCGAAGTCACCTAGACATTTCTGTAAGCCCGGGTTTTTAGTAGCGTCAGGGCCCATCGAGCAATGCCGGTTGTGGAAGGTCTCAACGACTACCAGCTCTTTCGTGCGTGCGGTCCGCTCTACCCCGCGTTCGCCATCGAGAGCCTTACCAGCATCATTCTTGGCTTCTTCTTCACCTACCTCGCCCTGCGCATCGTGGTGAGGACCGATGTGAAGAAGCCGATCAATGCTTCCTGGCGCATGTTTCGGGACTACATCACTCCAGTCGCGGACCAATGGTGGACTCTGATGAAGACCTGGCCGGACATGCCGAACAAGCCGTGCGCAGATAGAATTACGTACTGTCGGAACCTCAACATCGCCATGTGCCTGGCGCAGGCGTTTGCGGCGTTCTTCTCGGTGTTCCGATGGCTGCACATTGGCAATGTGAATGGTCTCCGGTACCTGGGCTACGCCTTCACCTGCTCACTAATGCAGGCAGAGCTCGTGGTCCTCATCGCTCCCTATGTTCCTTGCTACAAGTTCAACATTGTCTCCGTGGCCGCTCGGCTGCGCTCAGTCCTGGCAGAAATATAGTTGTCAACTGCCAAGGGTTCTGCAAAACAATCATTGCGAACGAATGAAGAAGCTGAAGAACTGCGTGCCCGCAACTCAGACGCAGGCAGCAACTTTGAACAACTTAGGTTCTCTTCACCCACGCCTTCCTTATCTGCGGATGGATCGGCTCCTTGCACAGAGGCTCCTCGAGTGGAGTGGCAACATTCCGCCCCCCAATATACATGAACCCCCAAACCCTTCAACAGCAGCACCCCACGCCCCCACCCAAACCCCTAAACCCTAAACCCTAAACCCTAAACCCTAAACCCTAAACACCAAACCCCAAACCCTAAGCCCTAAACATTTAACCCCAAACCCCAAACCCTAAACACCAAACCCCAAACCCCAAACCCCAAACCCCCAAGCCCCAAACCCCAAACGCAAAGTCCTCCCAGGCTTCCTGTTTGAGGATGCCTCTTGGGAGCTCTTCCAATTGTCCTGGGAGGCCGCGTTTGGGCATTTTAGTGTCTAGGGTGGGTTTAGGGTTTAGGGTTTAGGGTTTAGGGTTTAGGGTTTAGGGTTTAGGGTTTAGGGTTCAGGGTTCAGGGTTATGGGTTAGAGGGTGTAGGGTTTCGCGTTTAGGGTTATAGTTGGGCCGAAGTTTTGGAAGCTTCAAAGCGCGAGAAGTGGGTATAGGGCATAAAACCCTAAACCCTAAACCCTAAACCCTAGACCCTAGACCCTAAACCCTAAACCCTAAACCCTAAACCCTATCTGTGGGGGCCGCGAAGCCCTGAATCTTGCAGGTTCAGGGGTAGTTCTACGTAGGGTTCTGGCAGAACTAAGTGCCCGAAGTAAAGCTACAGCCAGGGATAAGTATAGCTACCCTACTTGTAACCCCACTTCTAACTACCCATTAACCTCCAGGTAGCCCTAAGCCCTAAACCCTAAACCCTAAACCCTAGGTTTGGAGTCCCTCCTGGATTTCGGTTGTTTAGGAATCAAGCCGTGGCTACAACAAAAGGCTTATTCAGGAACAGGCGTTCTCGTTTGAAGTGGTACGTCTTTGAAAGGATTTCTGGTCCATGCTGTGCAAGAGCCCTGAGGGTTTAGGGTTTAGGGTTTAGGGTTTAGGGTTTAGGGTTTAGGGTTTAGGGTTTAGGGTTTAGGGTTTAGGGTTTAGGGTTTAGGGTTTAGGGGTATTGTTGGCAGTTGAGCAAGAGACGGTTTTCTTCTTTTCGGCAAGATGTGTGAAGGGCAAGGAAAGCGAAACCATTGCCACGACAGCTGCTGGCACCGCCACTTCAGCTTCAGCTGTTTAGGGTTTAGGTTTAGGGTGCCATATTTGTTGCTGCGGCTACCATCCGTGCGACACCTACAGCGGCAACTCTCCCTTGCTATTGCCAGCACCACCACCACCTCTCGAATGCCGCTGCTGCTACTGCCTTGTAACATGTGCCGAAATGCTTGTTGCTTCGAGGTTCTCGTGATTTCTACATCTGGGTGCTTACGATAATAAGGGTCCCCTACAAAAACCCAAATAGTAGGATCCCCTTATCAGAAGGACTCCAAAAAGGTACCCCTACTATCGTAAACCCCATCTGTCATTGACACATTTGCGTGCAATCGCCACAGAAGCTTCCAGCCAATCAGCGCGGTCTTCAGCAACGTTGGTTCAAGACACCTGGCCGGCTGAAGACACATAAAATAGGGACCGATATTTTAGAATAGGGGGTTTGTATGGTATAGTCATGTAGGAACCAGAAGGGAAGACTCTTCGTAATGATGCCGACAGCTGTATTTCAGCAATGCATGACCGACAAAGTGGGCAAATGGCATCAGCGGCACTTGTGCAGATTTGACTTGAAACATCGTCATGTTTAGTCAGCCCTAAGCTATGCCATTGCTGGCTTAAACTCATGAGTGTGGGTTCAGACTTTGTGCCATCCATTCTGTTCCTCCAAGCTTTTTCCCCCTCAAACCCTAAACCCTAAACCCTAAACCCTAAACCCTAAACCCTAAACCCTCGGAACTTGCTATGAGCTTTGAGGACCTCCACAGGCTGAGACGATAAGCACCACGCCGTTAAAGCCGTAGAAATTACCTCCGAATCTTGTCAAGGACGCTTTCCGAAACAGGCTCGGACACCTTAAGCTCCAGCATGTTTCCTAATATTCCCTAATTTAGGGTTTAGGGATTGGGGTGTTTAGGGTTTAGGGATTAGGGTGTTTAGGGTTTAGGGTTTAGGGTTTAGGGTTTATGGTGTCGGGTCGGAGGTCTCCGACCTGGTGATCACGAGCAAGGGCGTGGCCATTGGCATCACGACGTGCTGCCTTGCCTTCCTCTGCCTCGTGCCTTTGTCATAGGTTTAGGGTACCATTTTACAATTTTTAAGGGTACTTAAACCCAATATTGTATTATAAATGTATATTTTTGATATGATCCCAACCATGAACTAGGTGCAGATGCCCTTCCTTTGCTTCTGCTACTTCTGGGCAGGCGCGGGCGACTGGTGGAAGCGCTGGTTCTCTTTTGGGGTTATGTACCAATTGCTTAAGAATGCCCCCAAGAAAGAAAAACCATTCTGCCTTATAAGGGTAATATAGGGATATTGTTTTTTTTTTTTTGGGGGGGGGGGTTCTTAAGCAAATAGTAGTTATGCTTGCCTGTAGAACGAACGGTAACACTGCGTCGGCCTAGCTGCCCTGCTGGTTGAAGGCTGAGGATTCTTCGTTTGTATCCAACCCTTGTTGAGTTTTTGGGTAGAGAGATTATGCTGTGCCCAACCTCAGTGCCTCGTAGTCCTGTGGCGAAAACACACCCTGTAGAAGTGGAGTTTGCAGCTATCCCCTGCAAAGGAGGCTGTCGGGCCCACAACGACCTCCCCTACTACTACCTTCGCCTGATGTTCGCTGTGTGGTCGCTCGGCTAAATGCAGCCACCGGGTGTGAGGCTTGTCATAAAAATAAGCTCGTCGCATACCGGATGCCCTGCAGAGAATGAGAGAGAATGAGAGAGAGAGAGAGAGAGAGAAAAAATGAGAGGGAGAATGAACGAGAGAGAGAGAGCCAGGGAGAGCGATATAGCGAGAAAATGAAATGCACGGACTGCCCAATCCAATGTGAGATTCGGATACAAGTCCATATGCCAGGCCGGGATAGTTATTGGGAAGCACGAGTGAGGCTTATTTCAGCATCCGAGTGCTCCGCGACTCTGGGCCCAGGCAGGTAGCTGCAGCCCGTGAAACACACAGCCCATAGTGAAGGCATTAGCCGCCAACCCCACAGTGTGCGGTGAATCGACATCAGGCGCGCTTGGAAGGAGAGAAAGAGCGAAAGAGAGAAAGAGAGAAAGAGAGAAAAAGAGAAAGAGAGAAAAAGAGAAAGAGAGAAAGGCAGAAAGACAGAAAGACAGAAAGAGAGAAAGACAGAAAGACAGAAAGAGAGCGCGAGAGAAAGAGAGCAAGAGAGAAAGAGAGAAAGAGAGAAAGAGAGAAAGAGAGAAAGAGAGAAAGAGAGAAAGAGAGAAAGAGAGAAAGAGAGAAAGAGAGAAAGAGAGAAAGAGAGAAAGAGAGAAAGAGAGAAAGAGAGAAAGAAAGAAAGAGAGAAAGAGAGAAAGAGAGAAAGAGAGAAAGAGAGAAAGAGAGAAAGAGAGAAAGAGAGAAAGAGAGAAAGAGAGAAAGAGAGAAAGAGAGAAAGAGAGAAAGAGAGAAAGAGAGAAAGAGAGAAAGAGAGAACGAGAGAACGAGAGAACGAGAGAAAGAGAGAAAGAGAGAAAGAGAGAAAGAGAGAAAGAGAGAAAGAGAGAAAGAGAGAATACCGGGGCAGGCGCACAGCCAGGGGGTTCGCCCCCACGCCCCCAAGAAAGAAAGAAAGAAAGAGAGAAAGAGAGAAAGAGAGAAAGAGAGAAAGAGAGAAAGAGAGAAAGAGAGAAAGAGAGAAAGAGAGAAAGAGAGAAAGAGAGAAAGAGAGAAAGAGAGAAAGTGAGAAAGTGAGAAAGTGAGAAAGTGAGAAACAGAGAAACAGAGAAAGCCAGAAAGCGAGAAAGCGAGAAAGCGAGAAAGAGAGAAAGCGAGAAAGCGAGAAAGAGAGAAAGAGAGAAAGAGAGAAAGAGAGAAAGAGAGAAAGAGAGAAAGAGAGAAAGAGAGATAGGGAGATAGAGAGAACGAGATAAGGAGAGAAAGAGAGAAAGAGAGAAAGAGAGAAAGAGAGAAAGAGAGAAAGAGAGAAAGAGAGAAAGAGAGAAAGAGAGAAAGAGAGAAAGAGAGAAAGTGAGAAAGAGAGAAAGAGAGAAAGCGAGAAAGCGAGAAAGCGAGAAAGAGAGAAAGTGAGAAAGTGAGAAAGTGAGCAAGAGAGAAAGCGAGAAAGCGAGAAAGCGAGAAAGCGAGAAAGAGAGAAAGAGAGAAAGAGAGAAAGAGAGAAAGAGAGAAAGAGAGAAAGAGAGATAGAGAGATAGAGAGATAGAGAGAACGAGAGAACGAGCGAACGAGAGAAAGAGAGAAAGAGAGAACGCGAGAAACAGATAAGGAGAGAAAGAGAGAAAGAGAGAAGAGAGAAAGAGAGAAAGAGAGAAAGGGAGGAAGAGAGGAAGAGAGGAAGAGAGAAAGAGAGAAAGAGAGAAAGAGAGGAAGAGAGGAAGAGAGAAAGAGAGAAAGACAGAAAGACAGAAAGACAGAAAGACAGAAAGTCAGAAAGACAGAAAGACAGAAAGACAGACAGAAAGACAGAAAGACAGAAAGACAGAAAGAGAGCGCGAGAGAAAGAGAGTGAGAGAGTGAGAGAGTGAGAGAGTGAGAGAGTGAGAGAGTGAGAGAGTGAGAGAGTGAGAGAGTGAGAGAGTGAGAGAGTGAGAGAGCGAGAGAGTGAACGAGTGAGCGAGTGAGAGCGTGAGAGCGTGAGAGCGTGAGAGCGTTGAGAGCGTGAGAGCGTGAGAGCGTGAGCGATAGCAAGAGCATTGCAGAAAGAGAAAACACGTGAGCGAGCACATGCTCAACAGGCTTTAGGTTTAGGGCTTTTGGTTTTAGGTTTACTGGGTGGCCGAAGTTGTCAGACGGTTGTCTTTGTGGCAGCGCCCCTTGCTCCTAAGCGTTAGCACTTATGAGGCTTTAAGGACTTACAGCCAGCTCCTACGGGCCTTGTCCCGAAGTCCTGAAACGCAAGTTGCAAGAATGGGATCCCCTTCCTCGGAGAAAGTACGTACTTCCTCCTTGTGCAAGCTCCATTTGTTCTCTAAGGTTCGGGTCTCTGACTTGTGGTTGGGTTCGGGGTTAATACCTCACGCTGTCTCTCTCTCTCTCGTAAAAATGTACGTATCTATCTATCTATCTAAATGTGTGTACATACATATATATATATATATTTAGATATGTGTGTGTGTGTGTGTCTATGCGCCCTGCCTTGCAGCCGAATTTTTTTGCGGGGAGGGCAGGGGGTCCGCAAGTTGGGGACGGAGGGCAAAGCGCCGCATATAGTTCCAAACTTAAGTTGGGTTTAGGGTTTAGGGTTTAGGGTTTAGGGTTTAGGGTTTAGGGTCGCCAGGTTCACGTGGCCGGCATTTCCGGCCTGGTGGGCAGTTTCCGCGGAAGGCCTCGGAGTCCTCGGGGATGCGAAGAGCAACGCCGTGGGTTTTGCCATCCTCAATATGACCCGCGGCTTGCATCTAAGGGAAGTTACGTTTAGGGTTTAGGGTTTAGGGTTTAGGGTTTAGGGTTTAGGGTTTAGGGTTTAGGGTTTAGGGTTTAGGGTTTAGGGTTAAAGCTGCAAGCCTTGAGCCCTAAACGGTCTGAAGCCCTACACTGCCGATTGAAAAGCCCCCCCCCCCCCAAGAGATCTCCGCGGAGGATCTCCAAGGGCGGCTTCACCATCAACATGCTTAAGATTGGCGCGGACCACCGCCGCAGGCTGAGGACGAAACTTTTTAGGGTTTAGGGTTTAGGGTTTAGGGTTGTACTTGCGCAAGTCTTTGGGCATCTCCCGGCCTGTCCAAGAGCAGCTTTCTTTATGGGCTATTGTTGGGATGTTCCCAATCGAAACAAAGCAAAGCAAAACAAAGCAAAACACAACAACACGACACAAAACAGAACAGAGCAAGTCAAATCAACCAAAAGCACAGCAAAACAGATAAACACACCACAACACAAAACAAACCAAAGCAAAAAAGCAAGGGCAATCAATCAAACACTATCAACAGCAAAGCGGATCAAGCACACAAGCAAACCAGCATACAAACTAGACATAACATCTCACAACAAGCAACAAAACATAGCGCAACCAAACATCAAGGAACAAAGCGAACAGAACATAACGCAACACAACAGAACAAGCAAAACATGACAACACACAACACAAAACAATACAACACAGACAGACAGGCGGACACGCGGACACGCAGACACACAGACACTGAGACAAGCAACTCAACAAACAAGCAAGCGAGCAACAAACCAACACACCACAACTACAACCACCACAACAACCACGACAGCCACAACAAGAACCACCACCGCAACTACCACAACCACTGCAACAACAATAACAACAAGAGTCAGGCCAACAAGAACAGGAACACGAATGATACTAACAAGAACAACAAGAACACTACTAACAACAGGGACTTGCCGGGTCGAGTTGAAGGGTTGTGCCATAAGTAGATGTGTGTGGAGGAGGCAGCCAGATCTCTCGTGTTTGCTTTCCAACGCACCCAGAAAATGCCGGCGCCCCTTTGACGGCTATTTTGCGTGATCGCCTGCACATGTCCAACCCCCGACGCCTGCAGAGCCAGTCTCCCTGCGTTGCTTCGGTTGTGTGGTCGGCCCCTTTCTGGCAGGTGGCCCGAGCTGGTGCCAACGGCCAACGGGACTCAGAACTGGCTGGTTGGGAAGCTCCAGGAATATGAGTCCGATCGCAAGGAGCACGGCTAAGGTTTGAAGTCACAGGGCTTTCGTGGGTTAAGGGTTCTGGCGTTCAGCTTTCGCTTAAGGGTTTGTCAGGACGATGCCGTCAACAGGGTCATCCTCGGGTTGCGGGTTTAAGCGTTCTAGCCAGGGGTCGTTGAGCCGGGCTGGAGTATGCGGACTTATGTGAGGGGTTTGTGCGCACGGCAGGCTGCACCGTGAAGAGATATCTTTAAACAAGGAATGGCCCACGAGCGTTTCAAACTGCCAGAGTGCTTCATGAGCATCAGCATCAGTATCAGTATCAGTATCATTACTTTTTTTCTGATCATGATTCTCTTTCTGGCCATCTTCATCGTGGCACATCATTGACATTGTTATCAGCAGCAGCAGCAGCAGCAGCAGCAGCAGCAGCAGCAGCAGCAGCAGCAGCAGCAGCAGCAGCAGCAGGCTTTCAAAACATTTTGGGCCCACAATCACGGTTCCCTGCCCAATCCAACTTCGAGAGGGGCAGAAGCCTCGACAACATGTGGGGTGTAAATGCCATTATCTCGAGGTTGTCGCCTGGACACGTCTCTACGGCCAGAGAATGTGATGAGCAAACGAAGAAGTGCAGCTTGTGTGCAGAATCGAGGCCAGCGGAGGACGCCAAGAAAAATGTACTGCCGTGAGCGAGCACAGTATGACACCACCGATCAAGCACGCAATCTGAGGAAGAATCCTGTGCAAATCTTTCCCCATTGTCCCTGATTTTGGACACGCGACGAACACGAAGTGGACATGCGACGACCTTGCTAGGAAGGTTTGAAGAGAAGCCTGGCAGTTCAGTACATGACCGCGCTGCTTGTTGCGTTACGAGGACCTAGACCCTGCAAACCCCACGTGTTCTGGATGCCCAGGACGCTAAGGATTCATAATTGTTTGTTGCGTGTTTGCTTCCGGGTCTGAGAGGGCTCTTGCAGCCAGGAGAAGAAGCTTGTGGGCACAGAGGGGCCGGAGAAGGACGCCGAACTGAAGGCCTTCATGGGGGGCGAGTATTGTGCGACAAGCCAAACTTCGAGCCTAGAAAAAATCGAGCACGCCGAGACACCCCCCCCCCACAGGGTGCTCAATGATGACTTACGTATGGCATTGGGGCAATGCCTCGCAGAACCTCGCACGAAGGGGCGTTCGTCACTCCAGGATTCCCAGCCTTCAAGGGTGCGGCGTCGTTGTCCTGCAAGTGTTTAGTTTTAAGTTTCATGTTGTGTTTGGTTCAATAGGCCAAGACTTTTAGGGGTTGTCGGGGGCTTAAGGGTGAGAGGTTGAGGGTTTGGGTACGAGGGGGCCGCCTGTGATCCAGGATTATCGTGGACTTCCCGCAGTGGGAACTTGTTTGGGACTTCGTTTCGCAAGTGATGGAGTTAAAATGACGCCAGGGTCCAGCACTCTGGGAAGCTTCCACTCAGGGTCGGAAACTTTGCAGTATTCGGCAGACTAGCCCCCAAGCCCTGACGTGTTCTCAAGGCACAGGATGCTAAAGAATGCCCATGACGCAAAGGATTCAGAATTTGTTTCTTGCGTGTGTGCTTCCCGGTCTGAGAGGGCTCTTGCAGCCAGGAGAAGAAGCTTGTGGGCACAGAGGGGCCGGAGAAGGACGCCGAACTGAAGGCCTTCATGGGCTCGGTGCGGTTTACGGGGCGCGGGTCTTGTGCGACACGCCAAACATCGCTCTACCACCGCTCGCCGCTAGCTGTAGCCCTAACTTGTGACCAGATGTCTGGATTGTCCAGGGTTCCTGAACTGTTCGGACAAGAAACCACCTGGATTTCGAGCCCTCAAGCCGAAAGAACAACTCGAGCACGCAGAGACCCCCCCAAACCCTAAACCCTAAACCCTAATTCCTAAACCCTAAACCCCAACACGGTGCCCAATGATGGCTCACGTACGGCATTTGGGCAATGCCTCGCAGAACCTCGCACGAAATGGGGGTTCTTCACTCCGGGGTTCCCGGCCTTCAAGGGTGCGGCGTCGCTAGGGTTTAGGGTTTAGGGTTTAGGGTTTGGGGTTTGGGGTTTAGGGTTTAGGGTTTAGGGTTTAGGGTTTAGGGTTGAGAGTTTCCCCAGGATTTCGGTCTTTGATCGCAGTGGCCGCTGGTGCTCTCCGCCCTGTCTGCAAGGGCTTACTTGGAGGTTATAGTTATAAGTGGGATTATGAATAGGGTAAACCCTAGACCCTATAAACCCTAAACCCTAAACCCGAAAAATAGGGTAACTAGACGAATATCCGTACTTGGGGCACTAAAGTATAACCCTACTCCTAACTGCCCGTGAACCTCCAAGTAGGCCCAGTAGGCGCCCTCTTCAGCCTTTCAGGGTCGCAGCCCTGAAGCCCCAAACCCTAAACCCTAAACCCTAAACCCTAAACCCCAAACCTCTACGTCGGCGCATCACCTAGTCTGACACTCGAACGCGAACTGGAGCCCCTGAAGCTCCTCAGGCACCCCCAAGCCCCTAAACCCTACATCCCTAAAGCAGGTTTAGGGTTTAGTTAGGTTTAACTAGGGTTTAATGGGGGTTTAGGGTTTAATTAGGGTTTAGGATTTAGGGTTTGATTGGGATTTAGGGTTCAGGGTTTAGGGTTTGGCGCCTTATCTAGGGAACTGCAAACTCCGAGCAACGTTGCGTTGTGCAGGCTGCTGGAAAGGGCATCGACACACTATGGGTGTGAAGACGCCGGCGCTTGTTTTAAAGAAGTCCATGTTGCTGGTTCTCTAAATAGCGTCTCTTTTTGGTTCTCCTATTTTGTACGGCACCCTTAAAAAAGGACCCCAAAAGGGGCTCGAATTGAGAGAACTGCGCATGTGGCATTCTGAGGGTTAGTCGGATAGTGATGACTTCCCAGCCGTACGTCCTTAGCCTCAAGCCTTGTGCTAACCGTATATTTGCCGGAAGCATCCTGCATTTTCCTGCATGCCTTTGCACCCTTGAGGCCTCTAGAATGCCTCCCCAAGGCGCTCCACACCCCTGACCCATCAAACACCCCTAAACCTGGACCCTAAAACCCCGAGAAGCCTAAACCACTGAACCGGCATTGTTTTGAACCGAAGCACGAACCCTTGGCGTGCCCAAAGGACCATCACGCTAGTCTGCAATGTTTCAGGGGCCCCTCTTGGCCCCAACAAGGATCAGCTCAACGGCCCACAGGCCTTATTTTCCCTTGGGGGATGGCGCGGAGCGAGGATGTTTGTGGCAAGAATGCGTCCTGTCATACTCAAAAGGTCTTGGAGACTTCAAAGATGGCGCACCCAAAGATCTGAAGGTGCCACTCACTAGCATGAGTCCTACCAGTCCATGCCTAGCCAGAAGGGGTTTTGTTGCCAGCTCCCAATCTTCCAAAAGCCCTTAATTAAGGAATATACCCGAATTCATAATAAGGATCCTTAGTATAAATTAGGGTCTTTTCCTTAAGTAAGGGGTTTTGGAAGATCTGGGTTTGTAGGGTGGCAGGCTTAGGCTCATGGGATTTTTTAGGGGGGGGGGTCTACGTCAGGGTCCTGTTGTTTTACATTGCTTTGGATTCGCGAGCTTCGCGTCTGCTGCCTGCTGCCGCTGAACAAGCGGCACATGTGCCAGGGCTGGTAGGGTGATCGTTTCTACACGTTCGACCCTTCTTGTGAGCAGAGAAAGAGGCCCCCCAAAAAACTCCACAACATACGGGAGCCTTGAATACTTACCAATATCATCCAGTTCTACTTTCCGTATGGAGACAGCCCAAACTGCCCAGAATACCCAGTGTAGCAGGCCCCTATATGCATGTAGGCACATACGGATATATGCATACGTATGTATTACGCTGTATATATATATATATGTATACACACATGTGTATCCAGCCCCCCCTTCCCCTTCCCTCGCCTCCCCCGGCGCAAGACAATTGTTTCTTCTCGGTCATGTTTTGTTGGTTTTTGTTGTTCGGTTGTTTCGGGTCTTGGGCTGGAGGAGTCTTGTCGAGAAAAGATAAGCAGACTTGTTCCTTACATGGGAGGAGGCTCCGAAAATTTGGTGTTTTCTGCTTTGTTGATGGGTCGTTCTCCGCATTGGGGTCCCTTTCTGGGCCCGCTGATTATAAGGTTGCCGCCGTATATATATATATATATATATGTCTATATATAGAAAAATATATATATATATATATATACGTATATATATATATAGCTCCCCCCGCCCCTCCCAAGATATATATATATATATATACATATATATATATATATATACGGCGCATCCTTATAGTAAGGACCCCAAAATGGGACCCTAATTTAGAGAACTACCCTAAAGTTCGATGGGATATATCGTTGGATAAATCATATCAAGAATGAAATTTCAGAAATCGATATCCTTTTTCTGTGAATGTGAAACTTCTCTTCAATGATCTATCGGATCAAAGGAACATCAATCAGAGAAAAACACATTAATTCGGGCACATTTGTCTCCTTCCTTTTTAATTAGAGAATGAGATTATGGATGGTGTTTACGTTGGTGTGTTATTTGCCTTTCTTTTGATATTTCTTCATCTTGCAATAGCTATCTTTCATGCTTCACATTTGTTTAATCCAAATACTGGGTTGTCTGGAATAATTATTTACTTCTTCTTTATGGCAACAGCATTAATGGGTTTTGTTTTGCCTTTCGGACCAATGAGCTTATGAGGAGGTACAGTAGTTACAAATTTGTTATCTCCATTTCCATCTTGAATAGCATGGCTTCGTGGCGTCTGTTGGCTCAGCTCAGGGCACTGCGCGCGACGCACTTGAGATTTTTGAGAAAACAACGTCCGCTGAAATTGTGGTTTGCATGCCCTAGCGTGCAGCAGTTCCGCAGCCCTGCGACCGAGGCGGCGTCCGATGTTTTTCTTCCAATGTTCCGTGTTGAAGCGCAACCTCAGATCCCTGAGCATTCGACCCCGACTGTCCCTAATTCGAGATCGCTCCCTTGAAGACTCAGCTTTGAGCCCGTAGAGGCTTAAACTATCTAATATGTATGTATACATATATATGTATATATATGTATGTGTATATATATATATGTATGTATATACATATATATATGTATAAGAAACATGCAATTTTTCTTTTCGTATACACCCACTGATGAAAGCTTAGGGTATTTTGAGTTTTGGGGGTTCCTCAGACGTGCCCTTCGACGTCCGTCGAAGCTGCGGCTACCTGCGAAGCTCCTGGGCGCCGAGTTTTACAGTTGGTTCAGCTTCTGTGTCATAGGGTTTAGGGTTTAGGGTTTAGGGTTTAGGGTTGGTTCAGCTTCTGTGTCATAGTTGGGTACCATTTTACATATTTATGGGTACTTAAACCCAATGGGGAATATCAACTTAACATGTTAATATGATACCAACCATGAAGTTGACGTTCAGGGCTATTGGGTTGAGTTCAACCCTTCAACGCTTAAATTTCAAACAAGAGCCTTTCAATATTCAACCTTATATAAGTCTGCAAACCGCAACTTAAGCGCATTGAACAGTGACAACGCCTTGTTGAGTCGAAAGTTGTTTCTCGGACGTAATCCAGGATGGGCGATTGTACCATATAATCACTTAAAAGGCACTTTATAGGGTTCATTATGAGGATTTTAAGGCCTAATAGCCCATCCTGGATTGCCAGAAGGCCAGAAGGTCGCTAGCGCCGCATGGGCCTACAAGGCGCAGCGGAAATGCCCGAAGCACCCCAACGATTTCGCAACTAAGAAGCCTGAAGCTGCATGGCGGCGTATGCACCACCCCCAAGAACCTTAGTGTTTTTTGGGTGTAAGGTTTATGGGGTTTAGGGTGAATTAGGGTTTAGGGCCCTTGAATGTAAGGAGAGTTTATGACTTAGGGTTTCGGGGGCCTGCCTTAAGGGCTTGGTTATGGGTGAGGTCTCGGCATTGGTCGAGGGATTTGAGGGTGCCTGGAGTTTCCTGTCGCAGCCGGTACGCCTTGTTTTGCGTCTCTAGTTGTGGAAAATCGCGTGGAACCGGCTTGCACAGCCAAAGGCATTGGCAGCCGCTCTTCCATGGCAACTAGAGAAAAACGCAGTACGACCGAGACTGAGCGAACGCTTGAATCTGGGTGGCTTCACCAAAGCACGCTTGCCGTGTGCCAACACCCTGTCTGTCAGCTTTAAGGGCCTCAGTGCCCGAACTCAGTTTCATTGCAGTCCTTAAATGAGAGCTCGCTACCAGAGAATCTCGCAGGGAATCTCTGGAGCGTCCTATTCCAGATAGGTTGGCGTTCACATAAGCAGCATGCATCATGACAATGCGGAAGGTCCCTCGCTCTTAGAAACAGCAGGAAAAGCAAGTGCCAAAGTCTCCATAGCAGTCATCCCCAACCCCTAAACCCCTAAATCCTAAACCCCTGAACCCTAAACCCCTAAACCCCTAACCCCTGAACCCTGAACCCTGAACCCTAAACCGTAAACCCTAAACCCTAAACCCTAATCCCTAAACCCTAAACCTTAAACCCTAAACCCTAAACCCTAAACCCTAAACCCTAGACCCTAGACCCTAAACCCTAAACCCTAAACCCTAAACCCTAAACCCTAAACCCTAAACCCTAAACCCTAAACCCTAAACCCTAAACCCTAAACCCTAAACCCTAAACCCTAAACCCTAAACCCTAAACCCTAAACCCTAAACCCTAAACCCCCCTAAACCCAACCATGAGCACATCCGGACCCCCCCCCCCCCCCCCAGTGCCACTAAACTTGAACCCCTAGCCCGAAATTGGATGAAAGCATCCCAGGCCCTGTATATCCTTCTGCACATCAGCCTGAATTATCACCAACACCATCCCCTCTAATCCCCATATCACGGCCTTGAAAGCCCTAAACCCTAAAACCCAAACCCCAAACCCCAAACCCCAAACCCCAAACCGTAAACCCTAAACCCTAAACCTTCAAGCAGGCTCACAGACCCGAACCCCCCATTCGGCGTAGAAGCCCCTCGGCTCCCCAGGCATGAGGGTTTAGGCTTGCAGGGTGTAGGGTTTAGGGTTTAGGGTTTAGGGTTGGAGTTTCTTGCATGGAGTTCATTTTTTTTTTTTTTTTTTGGGGGGGGGGGGGGGGGTTAGGTACTCGTAACGACCTTGGGGTTAGAGACTTGTGGTTTCAGCTTGTTTCCGGATGCCGCAATCCATGGCTCAAAGTCTACTCAGGTTTCAACCCCCCAAGCCCCAGCCAGCTGCCCGTAGAAGGGTTTAGGGTTTAGGGTTTAGATACTGCAGCACGGAAGCGTACATCTTGACCAGATATTTGACCAGATGCACGTCCCGACATGTGCCGTGGTCCAGAGTCTTCTAGGATGCAAGTGGGAATCTGACTACCATTTTTGTTCTTAGGTTCCCTTCTACACCCCTTTTCAAAGTAGCACCCTTTTTGCCCTAGGTTGCAGTGGCATCCTGGGTAGGCAGCGCTCTCTCATAGCCGCTCCCTCTCCTGCGTCTAAACGTGGCGGCACTCAGATACAGTAGGGCCCGGAACTCATCGACGGTCTAAGGACAGTTGCATGGCCTGTCAATTAGAGGGTATATGTGGGGTACATAACCCTAAACCCACTTAAGCTGCCCATCAAAGGACCGTGTAACTAGCCTGAGAGATGGCGTTTGCGCGGGGGGGGGGGGGGGGGGGGTTCAGGCTTCAGGTTTTTGAGGTTTTGGGAGAAGGTGGCGGCATTGCAGGA